ACTCTTATGATGTCTCTTCTGGAAATAAGATAATTCTTTGGAGACCTCTGACAGACAAGCAATCCTGGGTTTGAAATCTTGATTTGGCCATATAAAATTATCCTATCACAGCCTTTACCTCTACCAGTTGGCAGCATTCAGCAAGGACACACACATTTCTACATTTTCAAAGAGGTTGAATACTCTTCAATTGGATTAAGTAGAAGTGTAGTTTTTCAGAGTTGTACTGAAATAGGGTATTCTACAATCACTAAAGCTTTACTGGCTCTAAGGATGGAAACTGAGACTGTATATGGGTTAGTCTGGATCCCCTGCTCAAGGATATGTAACTGGAGTTGTCAAGCTTAAGCCTAGAGCCAGGAAATAAGAAATGTGATTGGAATGGCAGCCCTCCAAAATCACACAGTTCTGCACAGCCCTCCACATCAGACAGAAGTACAGGCAGCAAAATCTAAAATATCACAAACAAAAGGCTAATGAATAAAGAAATAACATCAGTGAATACATCCCATGCCCTAGGCAGGTTTTTTACAATAATTTTTGTGTCTATTTTTTTCTTTTATTGAAAATAGTTTTTTTCATAAATACATCCTGATTACAGTTTCTCCTCACTGTATTCCTCCCAGTTTCTCACTACTTCCCTCTCCTACAGATCTACTCCCTTTCTGTCTCTCATTAAAAAAGAATAGGTTTCTAAGAGATAACAATGAAACATGACAAAAATAAGATTTAATAAGATAAAACAAAGCCATCACAGCAAGGCTGGGCAAAGCAGCCCAACAGAAGGAAAAGAGCTACAAGAGCAGGCACAAGAACCAGAGACCTGTTGTGGAATTTCACTTTAACTGTGTAAAGGTGTGTTACTATTGTTTATGCTGAATTTATTTAATTAGGTAAAAATGTGTTGCTGTTTTGCCTTCCCTGCCTAAGACACTTGATTGGTCTAATAAAAGCTCAACGGCCAATAGGTAGGCAGTAGAGGGATAGGAGGGGCTGGCCAGAAAAGAGAATAAGTAGAAGGAGAGAGAGAGAGAGAGAGAGAGAGAGAGAGAGAGAGAGAGAGAGA